ACTAATAATATCCCAGTAGAAATCAAACAGATTCTAAAAGAAAAACGGAAAGCAAGAAATACTTGGCACAGTACACTTGCGCCATCTGACAAAACCAAATACAATCAATTAAGTAATAAACTCAAAAACAAATTAAAAGAAATGAGGGAAGCAACATTTGAAGACTATGTAACGAACCTTAGCCGATTTGATCATTCCGTATGGAAACCTATCAAAAATCTAAAGAGACCCAAGGATACCTCACCTCCAGTAAGAGCAACAACACCTGTGATAGGTCCATGGGCAAGAAGCAATAAAGAAAAAGCTGAGCTGTTTGCGGAACACTACTCAAATACTTTCAAACCTCACAACAATGATCCAAACGACCTATCAGAGGAAGAAGAGTCAACGTTTACTGAAGAACATCGGACACTGAAGCTAACTACTCCTAAAGAAATCAACGGAATTGTTAAGTCATTAAGCTTGAAAAAGTCACCAGATCCAGACCAAATAACTTCAAAGATGCTAAAAGAGTTACCAAAAAAGGGATTTGTGTTGCTGGCATACATATTCAATGGCATATTAAGGATGAGCTACTGGCCTATAGCCTTAAAACTCTCTCAGATTATTACAATAATTAAACCGGGGAAGGATCCTTCGGACATAGCTTCGTACCGACCTATAAGCCTAACATCAGTAATATCTAAGGTATTNTTAATCGAAAAAAAATCATACTTCGCAGAATTAAGGATGATCTAACAACAAATACATGGATACCTCAACACCAATTCGGCTTTCGACCAGGACACACAACTATACAACAAGTGCATAGAATAATCGACGACATCAATAAATCCTTAGAAGCGGGAAATTACTGTACAGCTGCGTTTCTGGACGTAAGCCAAGCGTTTGATAGAGTCTGGCATGACGGCTTGCTATTTAAAATCAGAAAGACTCTTCGACCCCCATACCCCAAACTCTTCAAATCTTATCTGAACGACCGATATTTCCAAACCAAAGTAGGAAGCGAGACGTCAGAAATTTACCCCATTGAAGCAGGTGTACCTCAAGGTAGCGTGCTGGGTCCAATGCTATATGTACTCTTCACGTCAGACATTCCAACATCAACAAACACCACTACCGGCACGTTCGCAGATGACACAGCGATTTTATCAAGCAATAAAAGTCTGGAGCTAGCCACAGTACATCTACAACAACATCTCGATACCCTCCAGGATTGGTTCAAGAAATGGAGAATAAAGATAAATGAAAGCAAGTCTGTTCATATTACCTTTACATTAAGGAAAAAGAAACCAACAGTCGTCCATATAAATAACACCGTTATTCCTAGCAAAGAAGAAGTTAAATACCTCGGAATGCATCTAGACTGCAAAATGACGTGGAAATGCCACATAGCAAAAAAACGTAAACAAATAGATTTACTGACCAAGCAGATGTCCTGGCTTATAGGCAGAAGATCAAAACGATCCCCCGAAAACAAAATCCTTATATACAAAACAGTAATTATACCAATTTGGACGTACGGCATTGAACTCTGGGGATGTGCCAGTAAGACCAACACCAACATTATCCAAAGATCACAATCGAAAATCCTAAGGATGTTAGTCGACGCACCTTGGTATGTGTCAAATGAAACCCTACATCAAGACTTGAAATTAAAATTCGTGAAAGAAATCATCCTGGACAGAAGCCGCCAACACATGAGCAAAATTGAAACCCACGTGAACGAACTATTGCAACCACTCAGGCAGCCAATCAACAATAGAAGATTAAAAAGGAAATGGCCAAATGACCTGATATAAAACAAATCAACTTCTGAAGAGGTAATGTCGATGGACATTTTCCTCGCATGACATGTAATAGTCCTTAGCGAAACCATTAACCTATAGAATGTACGTAATTCTGATTGTTAATAAATAAGCTCCTCCGAAAAAAAAAATTGTGGGAACTGCCCACATTCAAGCAAGTGTGACAACGCAAGCGTCATTGCTTAGCAACGAGTAAACAGCGGTTGCTAGGGAACTTGCAAACACAGTGTCCGGCAACAGCAGTACCTATTACGTAACCGTTTTCTATATGTCCGACTCTAGGTTATATAAGAAGATACATTGAGTCGGTGTTACAGTTCTAGATTCAAACAGTTCACTGTTGTTGTTATCCATCCGTGTAAACTGTGCAACTGCAATGAATCCTATAGGACAGTTCAACTAGTGGTTGTCTCTTCATACGACATCCCACATTGGTGACCCCGACGTGATATGAACACGCATGGAGAATTTACAAGGCGAACTACGTACCAAACGAGAACAGGAAGACAAAATGGAAGAAAAACAGAATGATGCTGGTATTACTAGCAGACCAGTACCAACAGAGACACCAACAATTGCAGTGCGGCTTCCGCCGTTGTGGGCCGACAGACCAGCCGTTTGGTTCGCTCAAGCCGAAGCACAGTTCACTTTGGCCGGTATCGGTAGCGAGCAGACGAAGTTCTGCTACGTGATCTCGCAGTTGGACCAACGTTACGTATCAGAAGTAGAGAACATTATCACCTCTCCACCCGAACGAGGCCCCTACACCCTACTGAGGACCGAGCTTGTGAGGCGGTTATCCCCATCGCCAGAGGAGCGCATCCGGCAACTCCTCACGGTCGAAGAAATTGGCGATCGTAAGCTGTCCCAGTTCCTGATATACCTCAAAAGTCTCGCACCAGAGGTGTCTGATAACGTCATCCGAAGCGTCTGGACCAACCGGCTACCCCGCAACGTGCAGAGCTTCCTCGCCGGCCAGAACGAGAGCAACTTGGAGGCCGCTGCCCTCTGTGCAGACCGCGTCTCCAAGGTCGAAGTCCGGCCAGCGTTCGCTAGCGTTAATGACCCACGGACATCGGCGCACTTCGGCAGGAGATCGCTGAACTCTCCCGCCAAGTGGCTGCACTCAGGACCGAACAGGACCGCCTCCACCCCCGCTTCAGGGAATCCGACAACAAACCGAGAAACAGAGGCTCCAGCCCAAAGGGTTCCCACCCCGCCTTCAACAACCGCCGGCCCGGCAGCAGATCACCCTCCCAGGGCGACACCACATCCAGTGTCTGCTGGTACCACCGCCGCTTCGGCACTCGGGCGCAAAACTCTACTCCGCTATGCTCCTACCGCCAGCAGGGAAACTGACGCAGCGGACATCATCGGCGGCACATGTATGCGCTACGAGAACAGGCCGCCTCTTCATAACGGACAGAGTCAGCAAACGGCAGTTCCTAGTCGACACGGGTTCGGACCTCTGAGTATATCCCCACAGGCTCGTCCATCGACGCATGGAACGTACCAACTGTGACCTGTGTGCGGCTAATGGCACTAACATCCACACATACGTATGGCTGCCTCTCAGCCTCATCTTGGGCCTACGCCGAGAATTCACGTGGCGCTTCGTGGTGGCCGACGTCCCGCATGCTATCATCGGCGTGGACTTCCTGTCGCATTTCGGTCTCCTGGTGGACTGTCGCAACAACCGCATCATGGACGGGGTCACGACGCTGTCAGCCTCGGCATCAGCGGCCAACGCACTGATCCCCAGTGTAAAGACAATCAGCAGCAACACACCGATCGACAGCCTCCTCACTGAGTTCCCGGACCTGACCCGCCCAGCTGGAGTCCAGCGCGAGATACGACACAACACCGTCCACCACACATTATTCGCAAATCGTTCTACACTGAACACTGTATAAACTGAGCTACTGATAGTGATCTTAAGAAAACCTTGAACAAAACGAATATATATGTAAATTCAATTTGAATATCAGCACCTCCAGACCTATTCTGTTCCGCGGAATTAAAGAATTTTTTTATTTAATTGAATAATGATTTATGAGATGATATATATATATATTGTGACGTGTTGCGCAATGGTAATAAGCAGGTCAACATTCTCCCTCCCCTCCCACCTCCGCCAGCGGTGACGCGCCGAGCGGAGCCGAAGTTAGCCGAGTCCCAGCATCCTGGTAGGTATGCAACGCGAGTCAACAGCGGTGACGTCATCAAGGGAAACCGCGGTTGCTAGGCAGCAGTAAACAACTCCGGACAGCGATGCTAGCAACACGGCGCCAGGCAAGAAGGGTGCCTACTACGTGGCCGTGTTCTGTGTTGTCCGGAACGAGGCTACATAAGGAGCAGCGAAGGCTATTCACGGTCAGTTCCGAGAGAGTTCCGAGCTACCTACGAGTTAGTTAAAGTGTATCAGCAGCGAGTTCTGAGTCAGTTCCGCGTTAGCCAGCAACCAGTCAGTTGTATTCTGGCATTTGCAGTGTAATATTTGTGATACTGCCGATGGTAGTCATTGTCACATTGTAATTTGGGTGACTGTAAGTGCGAATGTGAAATAAAATTCGCTATATCAAACACGGCGTGAAGTTATTTGTCGCGTTATACACCCAACACGTGACAATTTGGTGTCAGAAGTGGGATACCAACTTAAACAGGCCACAAACCGATTGTTGTGCGTCGAATATTTTACTGCTACAAAATGGAGATGCAGCAGATGATGGAAATGCTGGCAAGAATTGAGGCCAACGTGAAATCTAACCAAGTAAAAGCAGATACCGACCGAGTGCAGAGGCAAGAAATGTTCCGAAGACATCAAGAAGAAATGAAGGCGGATAGAAGACCTCAATGAATAACGTTACAAGAAATTCTTATCAAACAGAATCACCAAGAGATCGAATTAAAATACTTTGTTATTGGTTGGGAGGTTATCAAGACATGAATCCTCAAATATCAACTCAGCAACCATCCCAACCAACTACTGTACCTCAAGCATCTTCAAATAAACCAACTTATACTCAAGTAGCTGGTGGTTCTACATCTATTCAACAACCCCAGCAAATCCAACATCAGCAACAACCAGTTCCAACCAATGTGTCTGTTATCAACATCTAAAAAACACCTACCTACCAAGACAACACTGACTCAACCTCAACCATCAACATCAACCTCCCAGCCTCAACCATCAACATCAACTTATATACCTCAACCACAACTACCAATATCTCAACCTCAACTTCCACCACCCATTGTTCAACCAGTACAACCACAATTTTATTTTCATCCAGGTCAAATATATTGGCCACCTGGTACACATTATGTACCTCAATATCAATATCAGCCTCAACAACAATATACACAAATCGATACTACTTCAGAACAACAAGAGTATCAACAATCATCAAAGACATTACAAGAAAAACATCGAAGCCAGTCAGCCGCCTACAGTTGGAGTATAGCAGCGTTTGCAGAAAGAAGAACCGGACGTATGTGTAGTTGTGTAATTGGGAGTGTGTGATACAGGGAAACTTACATAGCTCCCCTACTGTAAACGTGTAGACTGCTGAAGACAGAGTGAACTGATTTGCGAATAGGGTTATAAATCGTGATCCCCACAACAGTGTATACAGATTTGATTTGCGAATAGGGATATAAATTGTGAAACCCCGCAATATTGTTATAATTAATTGCAGCCGTGATTTGTAGGTTGTTAAATAAACCAATTAACGATCTCTACGGCGTATTCAGTAACGAAACACGTTACAATATATATATATATATACAGCGTGATTTAGAAAGATGGACACAATTTCAATTGCCTATATTTCCTTAACTATATGTTGCATTTGAATTCTGTAAAGTACATTTGAAAGAGGATGTTGTAAAGATTCCAATACTACCGCTAGAGCACCCTAGCACCGCGTCAGTTGTAAGCGAGATGGCTACTATGCGTCAGAAGATTTTTTGCAATCGTGAGTTTAGTAAAAGTGAGTTTGCGACTGCTGTGCAGCATGCATTTCTTCGTAAGTTTAACATCCAACCTCCGAAGAAGAGCACTTATCGTTGGAATAAACAATTTGCTGAAACTGGCTCTCTGTTTAAGGGCAAAAGCCCGGGCCGATCTAGTGTATCGGAGGAGAACGTGGAGTGTATCCAAGTGAGCTTTGAGCGTAGCCCAATGAAGTCAACCCGTAGTGCTAGTAGAGAACTTGGACTATCGCAAACAACTCTCTGGCGTGTAGTGAGGCGCCGGTTAGCCGGTTAGTGTAAAAACCATACCACCTACAACTGGTACAGGCTCTTCGCGCAAACGGTAAGGTGAAGCGTGTAGAATTTTGTGACCGTATGCTCAAAAACATGGAAGATGAATTGTTTCTGCCTCGTGTAATATTTAGCGATGAAGCCACGTTTCACCTAAGTGGGAAAGTCAATGTTCGCATATGGGGCTACAAAATCCCTGTGTAACACTCGAACATGTGACGGACAGCCCGAAAGGTAATGTGTTCTGTGCACTATTGCTAACAAAGGTTTGTGGACCTTTCTTTTTTGATGAAAACACAGTTACTGGAATAAAGCATCTTAGAATGCTGCAAAACTGACTTGTTCCTCAAATGAATGAAGATTCAGGAGATTACATTTTCCAGCAGGACGGAGCTCCATCCCATTGGCACCTGAATGTTCGACATTTCCTGAGTGAATCTCTACCTCAACGATGGATAGGTCGCATGGGGAATGAAGACCTGGCACTTTAGTTCTGGCCACCGAGGTCTCCTGATCTCACACCCTGCGACTTTTCCCTGTGGGGATTCGTGAAGATGCAGTTTACGTACCACCTCTTCCCACAAATTTGAATGACCTAAGAAACCGTATCACAGCTGCGGTGAACTCAGTGACCCAAGATATTTGTCATCGAGTGTGGGATGAATTCAGCTACCGTCTAGATGTTATCCGTGCAGCAGGAGGGGGGCACATTGAACATATATAAACTTCCATGTATGTATAACCAAACGCAATTTACAGAATTCAAATGCAACATATAATTCAGGAAATATAGCCAATTGAAATTGTGTCCATCTTTCTGAATCACCCTGTATATAGTGTGAAGGTTTTGCGCAATGGTAATAGGCAGGTCAATATTCTCCATCCCCCCCCCCCCGGCGGTGACGCGCCGAGCGGAGCCGAAGTTAGCTGAGTCCCAGCATCCTGGTAGGTATGCAACGCGAGTCAACAGCGGTGACGTCATAAAGGGAATCCGCGGTTGCTAGGCAGCAGTAAACAACTCCGGACAGCGTTGCTAGCAACCTGGCGCCAGGCAAGAAGGGTGCCTACTACGTGGCCGTGTTCTGTGTTGTCCGGAACGAGGATACATAAGGAGCAGCGAATGCTATTCACGGTCAGTTCCGAGAGAGTTCCGAGCTACCTACGAGTTAGTTAAAGTGTATCAGCAGCGAGTTCTGAGTCAGTTCCGAGTTAGCCAGCAACCAGTCAGTTGTATTCTGGCATTTGCAGTGTAATATTTGTGATACTGCCGATGGCAGTAATTGTCACATTGTAACTTGGGTGATTGTAAGTGAGAATGTGAAATAAAATTCGCTATATCAAATACGGCGTGAAGTTATTTGTCGCCTTATACACCCAAGACGTGACAATATATATATTGCGACGTGGATGGCGCAACGGGAAATGGGAGTCCCGTAAACTCTGCGTTTCCTCTTGAGTGATGCCTTATACCAGCACACTCCTTCCACCAGTACGAAACGCTCGGTAAACACCCCCCCAACTGCGGCGACGTGGCAGAGGAACAACTGTATCAGGCAGCCATTGCCACGGTGTTGTTACCAAGCGATACCGCGGTTACAACCCAGCCGTAAACAACTCCCGACAGCGTTGCTAGCAACACTTGTAAAAACGGCGTCAGGCAACAGCGGTATTTATCACGTAAATGTTTTCTGTGTTGTTCGTGCCGAGGCTAAAGTAGGAGCAGCGAGCACTATTCAGTAGTGAGTAACCAGACAGTTGCAGGCTAGCCGCATTGCATATGATTAAGATTGTATAAGTATGGAGGGAATGTGCAACAAATTCGCTATATCAAACAAGGCGTGAAATTACTTAACGCGTGACATACACCTAACATGTGACAATAACAATAATTCAATTTTAACTGGCTAAAAGATCACTGCGTTACAAAACGCTTCTTTGATCACGACAGTCTACGATCCGCGAGGACGAATTGTCTGATAGAGGAAGTCAGTGGCTGCCCAGACGTAGGCAGTGTGCAAAACTGTTGTCGTAACTGTACATTTTCCTGTAAGCATTGCATTTTAATAGTTGTGCATTAAACAACCTAGCTCTACCTCTGCTGTTACTTCAAGCTACCCCGTATTGACACCCGAGGGAACAGCTCGCCCTACCCAACATGTGACATGTTGACCCGTACCTCCCCAGCTGCACATAGCGGTAACATAGCGCTCGCGTAATAGGCGAGTAATCATCCCGCATCCTGGTAGCTATGCAACGCGAACCGCCCGGTGATGTCACGAGCGGAGCCGAAGTGAGCCGAGCGGAACCGACGTTAGCCGAGTCCCCGCGACCATGAAGCTATGCAAAGCGAATCAACAGCGGTGACGTCACCGAGGGATATCGCGGTTGCTAGGCAGCAGTCAACAATTCCGGACAGCGTGGTTAGCAACAATGCACCAGACGACAATCGTCCGATCAAGGCTACATAAGGAGCAGTGAAGGCTATTCACAGTCAGTCAGTTAGTCCTGATACTACCGCCGAATGAGTCCTCGAGCTACTTCCGAGGTGTACTGAGTCAGCCAGTCGGTGCGTTGACAACGAGTTCTCAGTTTGCAAGTTACGAGCTACAGACGCGTGTGCGATAACCAGTGATAACCAGTTATATCTGGAGTGTGTAATTCAGGGAGACTTGTATAGCTCCCGCGTTATTAATACGTGAAGGCTCTTGAAGATAGTGTTAAGAGACTTTGTTGTAGGGTTTGTAAAGTGTGGAAACCCGTAATATTGTGATAATTAATTGTAGCCGTTATTTGTAGATTGTTAAATAAATCAATTAACCATCTCTACGGCGTCTTCTGTAACGAAACGCGTTACAATAATTTAAAACTCCAACCCGAAAAACGTAAATTTCTTAGTAATGTTATATTTTAGCGTCATGTTGCACCGAATCACGTTGATGATGTTTATTTTTACCAATCGTCTTACAGTGCACACATTTTAACTTTTCTCTTCACTACATGTTTCGGCACAAATGTGTCATCATGTCTCCTTTATAAAATGATTAAAATGTATATGTCACGTATAATAATAAAGTTTATATATAAAATCTTTTCAAGTTTTATCATCTATACGTCAATTTCAAATTCGCGAGTTACTTCAATCCTCTCCTATGGGAGTACTCTTCCTATATTCTTGTGTATATCTGCAACGTGGCAAGGGAAGGACACAACACAGAACACTGTGAGTATTAAACATTATAAAACCATACGAAACAGATAGAAGTCGGAGTGGTATTAGTGAGTATTAGAAGTGGTGTTAGTGAGTAACATTTCCACGTTGCAGATATACACAAGAATATAGGAAGAGTACTCCCATAGGAGAGGATTGATGATTGACGTTACTCGCGAATTTGAAATGTGACGTATAGATGATAAATTTTGAAGTTTTAATATATAAACTTTATTATAATACATGACATATATACATTTTAATCATTTTATAAAGGAGACATGATGGCATACAATGCAATGGTTTGACGTAAATAAAATCACACCTGATGATGGCACATTAGTGCCAAAATATGTAGGGGGAGAAAAGTGAAATTGTGTGCACTGTAGGACGGTTGGTTCAAATACACATCATAAACGTAAATGTCTTAGAACAGAGTAGGCTATTTGGGACACATTATCACAGAGGAAGGAGTGCGACCCAATCCAGAAAAAATAGAAGTGATTGAAAATTTCCCTAGACCGAACTCACTAAGAAAATTGAAAGGATTCTTGGGTATGACAGGGTACTACCGCAATTTCATAAATAATTACAGCAAAATTGCTGCACCTCTATATTTACTACTTAGAATGGATGCGCAATTTCAATGGGAAAATGACGAAGAAAAAGCCTTCAGGAACTTAAAAGGAAAATTAACATCAAAACGTATTTTGCAGTATCCGGATTTCTCGAGGGTATTCATACTCACCACAGACGCTAGCAACGACGTCATTGGAGCGATATTATCGCAGGGCGCTATCGGGAAGGACTTGCCAATCGCCTATGCTAGGCGAAATTTAAATAAAGCAGGGAAAATATACAAGACTAGTGAGAAGGAACTTTTGGCCATAGTTTGGGGGGTCAAACACTTCCGACCTTACCTTTATGGTAGAAAGTTCACCATTGTCAGTGATCACAAACAACTGATGTGGGTTATGAACATATAGGACCCCGGACACCGGTTACTCAGGTGGAGGATAAAATTAGAAGAATACGACTACTAGACAGTCCATAAGAATGGAGCGCTGAACATAAATGCCGACGCGCTAAGTAGAATAAATGGGTTAGTGCTCGAGGAGGAGGGAAATCAAGAGGAGGTCCCTAGTGAGAAAGGAAGGGACGAATCATGTATGAATATCATGATGCGCCGTTAGGTGAGCATCGGGGAATGAACAGGACCTATAGGGCCATAAAGGATAAGTATTCGTGGTCTAACCTGAAACAAGAAATAGAAGAATATATCAAACGATGTAAAAGCTGTCAAATGAACAGGATGCTAAGTTCACGAGCGAAGGACCCTATGGAAATTACCAGGACAGCGCGGCAGCCCTTCGAGAAATGTTGTCTAGACATTGTAGGACCATCTGAGACGCAGGGAGGCTACAAATATATATTAACATTCTAGGATGAGCACAATAATTTTTCAATAGCAATCCCTATATAGAAAGAAGACGCCGAAACCGTAGCAAAAGAATGTGTGAAAACCGTCCTTTTAAGGATGGGAACGCCTAAAAGACTACCAACTGGCCAATGATCAAATTTTTTAAGCGAGGAATTTAGAAGTACTTGTAGACTACTAGAGATAAAGAAATTACAAAAGACTTCGTTTCACCCAGAGAGTAACGGTAGGCTAGAACGGAGTCACAGGGTATTAAAGGAATACCTGAGGCACTACATTAAGGAAGATCAAAGTAACTGGGACGAGTGGATTCCCTATGCGGCACATGTATATAACACATCCACACACACTTCCACTGGGTACACAGCTTTCGAATTAGTGTACGGATTCTGTACTTCTATACTACAAGAACCCCCAGTGTATAGTACAATTATGATGATTTCGTAACCGAATTAAAGGGTCGGTTACAAACAGCACACACGGTAGCACGAGAAAATCTACTAAAATATAAGGAGAGAAGTAAAGAACACTGCCACAAGAATTCAAGAGTATCTTTGTTTCGAGTAGGGGACAAGGTATTGCTGTATGATGAAACAGTCCGAAGGGGGAGGTCTAGAAAACATTCATCCCAGTGGTTAGGCCCCTACGAAATCATTAATCTGGGCAGGATAAACGCCACCATTAAGAAAGGGCGATGTAGCCAGAAGGTACACTTAAACACACTAAAGATGTTTTATTAGGACAGGAATTAGAGGACATGAACAAACATTTTTATTTTTCAGATGTATTGTGAGAGAGCACGAGCGTACATACTCTGGATCGTATGATAGTGGGAAACTGTGAAAACCCAAGTCGTAGAAAAAAGGGCTAGGACCTCTCAATAGATAATTACGAGGAATCACCATGATTATATTACGAACAGTTACGGGAAACGACACTATACAATTTAGGGCAAATTGACCGTGACATTGACAAGCTACGCCAATACATAGACCACATAAACCAGCTATGTCACACGACGAAAATCAGGAACTCGACCGATTTTAGTCACTTCTATACGATATCCATTGAAACCGTTGGAAAAATAAAGGGGAGCGAAAATTTACTTTGCGAGCTAGTAGGAGAAAACCCAAAACGATTGAGAAAAAAAGGGGAGCACTAAATTTCATCGGTCAGGTAAACAAGATCTTATTCGGTACACTAGATGCAGATGATGCGGACTATTGCAATGAATGGATTAATCAATTCCAGGAAATTTAGAAGATCTGACTAACTTAATGAAGGAACAACTATCTATCGTAAGGGCATCGCTTGGAACCTTTAACGATACGATATCCGATTTAGATTATAACAGTCAAGTGACTCAGACACGGTTAACCAAACTAAAAGCTTACATAGAACAGTTTGTGGGCAGTGCTGATTCGCGACTAAATTTGTTGTATATCAAAATAACAGCCGAAGGGCAAATTGTTCGAGTTAATAATGCCCTCTAGGTCATGCAAAGAAATACAGACCTGATGATGGAAAGTGTCATCAATGCACAAAGGGGAATATTACAACCGCAAATAGTCGCACCAAGTTTAATCTTAGAAACCTTGAAATGGAGTATTGCAGAATTCCCAAAGGAAACGATGGCACCATTTATCATTGGCAAGGATTCGACCAACCTAATATATAAAATATGTGACAAATATATATGTAAAAGATGGTATCATAGGATACGTTATTTGCCTACCGCTGATCAACAAGGGTGTGTTTAAAACGTTTAGGCTAATACCATTGCAGGTAGCAATGGGTCAAGGCAAATTCATTTATATTGAAACTGAGAGTAAGTTACTGTATGCCGATCAGACGAGACAGTATTACTTTATATCAGATAGGGAAGAGTTAAGAAGGTGCAAGACAATTGAGCCAACTAAGTATATTTGCAAACAAGCACGACCCCTGCTGAATAGCCATATGCATGAGGCGTGTGCGATATAGTTGTTACAACCCAGAATAAAAAAACCCAAGGATCTGTGATATAAGAATTGTACAACTCACGCACACAATATGGACGCAACTACAACAGAGAAATTAATGGATTTATTTCATGCCTCTGAGAGAGAGTATTACCATCTCGTGTCCAGGTAGGGATCCGACAGGCATCGTACTTACCGATACAGATAAACTAATGATTCAACCAAATTGTAAAGGGTATAGCCTTACGGCATTACAAATATAAATCACTCCGTCCAATGTGACCCGTAAATTTTTTTACTACATAAAAACTTAACACCCTTACACGTTTCGGTCTCTGTGGACCATCTTCAGAGGGCAAACATCACTACAAATAGGAAACCACCATCACATAAATTGTTTAGACGTAAAGTACGTACACTTATATGCTACAATACATAGTACACATTTGTGAAATGTTCTATTTTGTGTACTATGTATTGTAGCATATAAGTGTACGTACTTTACGTCTAAACAACTTATGTGATGGTGGTTTCCTATTTGTAGTGATGTTTGCCCTCTGAAGATGGTCCACAGAGACCGAAATATGTAAGGGTGTTAAGTTTTCATGTAGTAAAAAACTTACAGGTCACATTGGACGGAGTGATTTATATTTGTAATTGTTAGTTTGACGGACAAGAATGAAACAAATCAAACCTTACGGCATTGTTGGCGACTAAGAATGTTATCCAAACAAACACTACAAAAATGGGGGTGACCTATTGTCCAAGCTCGAAGCTCAATTTGAATGTTGCGAGAACTTCGGTGTTTCCCAAAATGTGAGTCACATTGAACTAAGGCTAGAATTTAAACATGAAGTTTCGAACGTAGAAATTTGAAGCATGCAAGCTACAAGATTTCTGAATTAGAAGAGAAAATTAAGGAGAACGAATGAAAACACAAGCATTTGCAATATCATAGTGCGTATTATGTTTTTGCATATATCCTAATAACCTTGATTACCATGTACGGAATTTATAGGTTGGGACGGTTCATTTTATGACGATGACATGGAGGTAACAAGGTAAGGGCCCTTATGGGGCCGGTAGAAGATGTAAAGCTATCCACCAAATCAAGCGGGGCCGGAAATATAGTCTATATTAACATAAAAACAAGTAACGAAAGTTTATCCGGGAACCCCGAGGCCATCCCGCTGCAAAATTTGGACAGTAATTCAACGAAAAGCAGTAACCCTGAATTCAGGAGGTCGAGGCAATTATGAGCCGCGAAATCCTATTTCTATGCCCAATTAATGTGTAAATTGAGACTTTGTTTGAAAGGGGATGTCTTGTATATGTCTTAGGACAGAGTTGTATATGGGAATACCTGGTATAAACTGGGTTACATTAATATCTATATAGTGAACACATTGTACACAGTGAGCTGTTGTATAAGTTAACTGACATAATAGGGATTATTGCAAGGTGAGATGCTTAAAAATGAAGAAAAGCGCACAATTAAAATAACTACTTTAAATACATGAAATGAGGAAGAGACTATGATATGACGAAATATTGAAAGATTGTAAATCTACCTCTCACCGGTATTATCATACCAAAACCTACTTGTTTTCAAGCAGAAGACAGTGACAATCGTGCACTCTTCTGCCTCTAAATTTTGTCCAATTTCAATAAAAATCCAGGAGGGACGCACATACTGTAAACAAGAGAATGTTCTGGAAGTTTTAAGGTGATGCAATGTAAGTCTAAGCTGATGCAATGTATGACGTTATTAGAGACTTAAGGAGGAAGGGCATTACAAGACGCTTCTTTGATCACCACAGTCTACGATTCGTGAGGACGAATTGTCTGATAGAGGAAGTCGGTGGCTGCCCAGGCGTAGGCAGTGTGCAAACCTGTTGGCTTAACTGTACATTTCCTTGTAAGCATTGCATTTTAATAGTTGTACAATAAACCACCTAATTATACCTCTGCTGTTACTTGAAGCTACACCGTATTGACTCCCGAGGGAACCGCTCGCCCTAGCCAACCTGTCTTGCTACTAAGAACCGACATCGATTCCAGGTGCGGGATACAACAGCCTTGCGACGAGCTGAATACCCGCCCAAGGAGCCCTACCGTATGTGTAAGATTTAGAAAAACCGAAGTGAACGCAGAAGTTCATGGAGATAGGCATGGGCCCAAAGGGGCTATACTGCAAAGGAAAAAAAACGATCACTGCCACTTGGTTACACATCTATTAGAAACGAACGTACTGGACATATGATATTCGTAACTACAAATAATTGCAACACTTTTACTATTCCATACGGTCTACAAATAACTACAGCCTTAAATATCTCTTACATTCTCACCTCACTATGTGTTGTAATGGCTTGCGGAAATGATGATTCGGCTAGTTTCTTCAGTCCTCTCTGTGCTGCCTAACCACTGGCTTCTCTGAACACAACTGTCACAACGCGGTCCGCAGATCTGCTTTTATACTCCAGCAAGAGTCACCCGTGACGTCACAGTATCTCGCTGCGTAACAGCTCCACTGCAGACGGGTGGTCTACTGCCGCGTCACAGTGCCACGTAGGCGGGAAGTGTTTACTGTCTCGTTCCGTGGCAAAGCATGCATTATAGCATCGCGGTGTCCACGATTTCGACTGTTAAGCGTTACGTATTAATATTTTACCTCCCCCAAAACCTTATGTAAGTAAAATTTTTTATCAATTTATCACGTCTTACAAACTATCTACATGTTCCGCAAATATCATATATATGTCAATGCCCTAACTCTATCGGACGGAAAGTGTGTAGTTATGCAATACGCAGTTCGATCTGGCCTTCTACTGCTTTTTTAATAAAAATAATCGATTACTTTAAGAAGAAATACAGACAGAATACACGAACACAGGGATCACTTAAATGCCTTATCCATGTGCTGCATCACGAAACGGGAGACGTAGGAAGGCCTGGCAGTTAATGTACA